TGTCGTGGCGAGCAGTGTCCCCTCGGCGGTGTGGGCGTTCACGGCCCGCAGGCGCCGTCCTCGGGCCCAAGGACGACGCCAAGGACGCCGCGGCGGCCGCCCCAGGCCTCCCACGCCAGGGCCTGGCCTGGGCAGTCCCTGCGGCTGGCCCCTGACACCTGCCCTGATGTGGATGCTTTCGGGGAACATATTTTGAGTTTGTCAGCAGGAAAGTTTTCCTTCGGGGTTTTTTCCACCGGTGTGAGTGACACCGGACAGATGTACCGACGAGGGAAAGCTGCCGGCTGGCAGATGGCCAGCCCCCGCAGGGCAGCGTGCCCAGCCCCGTGCCGTCCGGCAGGGGTCAGTGAGGGAAACAAAAGCTGGCCCGGGGTTGGATGTTTCCAGCCATCAGCACCCGGGGTCCTGGGGCCAGACAGGTCGGCAGAGCCGGGACCCCCACCTGTGGCAGCTCCCCTCCAGGCCACTCTTCGCACTCTCGTGCCACCCCCCTCCCTCTTCTAGGCCGCCGCAGGCCCACTTCAGAGAGCAGTCACCCCCACTTTGAAGGTGAGGAGACATAGGCATAGACCAGTAGACTCCGCCATGGGGGTCTCAGGGCGGCATGCTCCGCGTCCCACCCCCGCTGGACGCTGCTGGAGGCCACAGACTGCAGGCCAGCCGGCCCCTGCAGGAGGGCCTGGACAGAGAGCAGGGGCTCTGCCCGGCGCCCACGCGCTCAGGCTGTCCAGCCGGGGCAGCCTGGCCTGGCATGCGTGGGCATGAAGCTGGGGCAGGGCTCTCCAGGACGCTCAAGCTCAGGGAGCAACAGGCAGCACCAGGAAGGAGCCCACTGACCACCGTGTGGGAGGCCACAGCGTAGGCAGGAGCCAGGCCCACTTCAGAGAGTGGTCACCCCCACTTTGAAGGTGAGGAAACACCCTCAGAGCACCCTCAGAGGGACAAGGGCAGGAGCAGCAGGCAGGCGGGCTGTGGAGCCAGGGAGGCCGTGAGGGCACCGGGCAGCGGTGGGGGCCACTCGGTGCTCCCTGCATGCCCCTGGAGGACATGCTGAGGAGGTGGGGGGGACGGGCACTGCACCCACATAGGCGGGGGATCCCCCTGGGAAGGGGAGGATTTCAGAGCTGACCACTGGGGTGGGTGATGGGGTAAAAGCAGGGGAGCCACAGGACAGGTGGGCCGCGCTGTCCCGTGGCCTAGGGTTCTGGGGCACCACTGTGAGGGCAGGCCAGGCCCCAGGTAGAAGGGCCTCTGGCCAGGGCCTGCCTCTGCGGGGTGCCCTTGAGGCTTGCTCACGGCAGTGCTGACCGCAGGACGGCCAACTCGCACTTTCGGACATGACTTCAGTCCTCGACTCGCTCTCACTAGTGGGTGTGCCCTGCCGCTGCGGGCAGCCCTGGCAGCTCGCAGCTCCGCGTCAGCCGCTCCTGTCCCGCCAGACGCAGGCCTCTCACCCTGCTGCCCAAGAGCAGCCCTCCTCGCGAGAGCACACTGCCCGGCAGCCCCTCAGCCTTCCAGGAGGCTCCCCTCCGACTCTCACCTGGCTCTCAGGTGAGTCAGGACGAGAGCTGCTATGTGCTGCTTAGTGCAGGCGCTCACCCAGGCCCAGCAAACCATGGCCAGGGGACGTGAGCCCTCAGTCCGGGGCGCACAGGTGTTCCTGGGGGGGCCGGGGGCACGCACCCCGTGTTCCTGGGGGGCACACTGTGTTGCCAGACCCGAGCAGGGCTGGAGCTCTTCAGATGCAGTTGCTGTCAGGTCTGTGCCACCAAGATGGAGTGGGAAGACAGCCCATTGTGGGTGGGGGTGCTCTGGGCGGGAGAGCTTCCAGGACCTGTCCTCTGTCCTCGGGGCCTTGAGCCCTGCCCTCAGGCGGGCCCCTGCCCAACAAAGACACAACTAGGCAGTGTGTACACAAACATGCTTAAGGGAATGCAGGTCACCAGACTTACCTGGGGTGGGGAGTCCAGAGAACATTTAATGGAGACATGGGACCCAGAAGAGCGGGTGTTGGGGGTCTGAACAGTGGCACAGCAGCCAGGGCCTCAGAAATCAGGGCGACTCACCTGCCTGATGGAACTACCGGTAATCACCCCACCACCCCACCACCGTATGGAGGGGCAGCCCCGCGCCCCAGCAGAGTCCCGACCTGGAGAGTAAACAGGCAGGTGTCACAGGGCCCGCGCTGAATTAGAAACAAAGGCACAAGGCGGACTTCAGAGGGGCCACCCCACACCCCGCCCCGAGTGGGTCCCTCTTAGCAGGTCTGGAGCAGGCAGCAGGCCACTCCTGTGTCCTTCCAGAAGCGGGCAGAAGGAGTGCCCGCTGCTGACAGGATGGGGTCAGGGGACACATTCTGGGGTGCTGGAGCTGCGCTCGACCCCGTCGGGGTGGGGTCGCCTGGGCAGCAGGCAGGAGGGCGGGCGCCCATTAAGCTGCCCGCGCAGGTTCGTGCGCCTTACATGCGGACGCCTCCGTGAAGGTCAGCGCTAGTGGCCAGGTCGGGCAAGCAGCGACTGGGCGCGGTGCCCGCCCGCCCCGCCCCACCCGCCCAGCGACCCGCTACCCTCTGTGACATCAGGCCTGGCGGGAGCCTGCGGGTGGGTCCTCAGCGTGCGCACTGACCCCTGGCCGCAGGGCGCGAGGCTGCGCTGGCAGCGGGGTCCGGGACCGCTGGCGTGGGCCAGGCGCCCTGCAGATGTTGGCAACAAGGGCAGGAGGCCTCTGGGCCACGGACAAGCTCTCCCGGCCCTCAGCCGTGCCCGTCTGCCCTGAAGGGGGGCCAGGAGGGAAGCAGAGGACAGGGGCGCCCAAGGAGAGCCAAAGTCCTGGATAACGAGCTATGGACGCGGCCAGTGCTCTGGCCCACACCCCAGAAACCCAGCGGGGGGGTCTAATTCCTGCCCGCAGGCACCTCCAGCACCAGCCTCAGCCGTCCCTTCCCCCCCGCACCTGAGCGCCCCCCCCCCCAGTGGCTCTGTGGGTGTCAAGTCACTCCGCACAGGGTGTGGGCCCGCTGGCCTGGCCAGTGCACCCTGCGGGGTCTGAGGGCTCCAGGGCCGCCCGCCCGCTGGGTCGCGCTGGGTTGGCGCGTGGACGTTGGCATGCTGCTGCGAGTCCCCGTCCTGGCCCAGGCCGGGCTCACTG